TTAAGAATATTTAATACATGCTGACGTGCAATATTAAATTTTTCTATAAATTCTTGAGAGTTGTCTTTCGCAAGCTGTGTCGGCGACGATTTGGGATAAGAACGTGACTTTTAACTAAAATCATTGGATATTTGTATCCAGACAAATTTTTGCGAATACTTTACGGTATAAGGGATACCTTCTACCAATACAATGTACTTCCGTACACATAAATTATTTTCATTTATCAATGCCAGATATGCGTCTTCTTTACTTAATCAAGTAAGCGAAGCTAGCTTGAATTTGCATAAAAAAAGTGACTAACTTTTCACTCGTTTAGCGTTGGGGCCCACATACAGGACCAAAAGCAGTAAAAATTGTGGAAGTGAGCCCCCGCGATGGTTTGCAGAATGAAAAACAATTTATATCAACAGAAAACAAAATTGAACTTATCAATAAATTGTCCGAGACTGGTTTAAAGGTTATAGAAACAACGTCATTTGTGTCTCCGAAACTAGTGCCACAGGTAAATTAATTATCAGTATTAATTATCTGATTTAAATTAATTTAAAAAAATTTTTTTTTCGTGGTTCTTCAAGATGTCAGATGCTACCGAAGTTATGGCAAAAATTACACGTAAATCAGGTGTGGATTATCCCGTCTTAGTACCTAACCTTACGGGATTGAAAAAAGCTATATCATCTGATGTAAAAGAAATAGCAATATTTGCATCTGCTTCTGAAACATTCAGTAAAAGGAATATTAATTGCACAATCAATGAAAGTTTGGAACGATTTCAAGATGTTGTAGATATAGCAAATGCAGAAAGAATTGCTATCAGAGGGTATAGCGACTAGTTTTTATAATGATAAATGCCTATGCAATGTTATGCCATTTAATGGCTTGCCGTTTATTTAGGTATGTTTCTTGCGCTCTTGGATGTCCTTATGAGGGAGAGATTTCTCCCATCGCGGTTGCTACGATCGCCGAGAAATTGTACAAAATGGGTTGTTATGAGATTTCTCTAGCTGACACGATTGGCGTTGGTACTCCTGGTCTGTTGCGTTATTGCTCTGGTTTATAAACTTTGTATGGTATTAAATCGAGTTAGTAACAACGGTCCATAAAATCAAGGTTCTTTGTCAAGGATGTTGAAAGCTGTATATCAGGTTCTGCCAACGGAACGTATAGCACTGCATTGTCACGACACTTATGGTCAAGCCCTTGCAAATATACATTTCGCACTAACGGTTGGTATTTTTTTTTTAGTTATCATGAAATGATTATTTTTCTTATAATACTGATTTATAATAACTTTTCTGAAGTCAGGAATAAGGGTCTTTGACAGTTCTGTTGCAGGTCTAGGTAAATAATTTAACGTTAGTATACTTAAATACCAGTCATAGATGTCATGGATTTATTCAATACTGTTTATTTTAAGGTGGATGTCCCTTCGCTAAAGGAGCAACGGGCAATGTTGCAACGGAGGATGTGGTGTATATGCTTCATGGAATGGGGTATGAAACAGGTGTCGACTTGTTGGAGCTAGTGAGAGTTGGGAATTATATATCCCAGCAGCCATGGCTTTGAGTTCAAAATTACAAATACCGTAAAGTGCCAACTGATGTATCCGGATATTGAGCTGTACCCGTGGTACTTAAGTAGGAGGGGTATATTGTATTGGTCAAGGGTATAATAATGTTTTGCGCTGTACCCGGGGTACTTAAGTGGGAGGTATATTATATGGTGCATGTAGTCTAAAACCAGTATCACGTGACCTTTTATACCTATATAAAATAAAAAAAGTTATAACTAATAATCTTAATATTATAATAAAAATTTTTTTTTTTAATTAAATTATTTATATATTTTATTATATTA